AACCATTTCTGCGCAGTGCCTGGCTGTGTTGACAGGCCACGTCCTGTGCATACTGGGTTTGCCAACCCAAAGCCCTACAGCAATGCCACCCCTAAGGAAGAAACCAGCTCTTGTTGAGACCTTGTTGATTAGAGACTCCAGAGACCCTCAGCTTTGTTCTTTGAATCCTTCAATTAAGAACGTTCATTGTTACATTTACTTTCCTGACAAGGAAATGGCGGTCTGGAAGCTGCAGGCCACTACACAGACCATTTCTAAGTGCTGAGAGCACACGGGGACCTGGTACTGGCACATACGTGGTCCCACGCCCAGGGCCTCACACAGCCCAAACTCAGGTTTTCCCTGCTCCGAAAATTAGCCATGACTGAGCCTCCCTGTATGCAGGCACCACTACCCCGTAATATACCTAGTAGTGGGGGAAATGCCACAGACTGAAAATGAGGAAGCTTAGAGAGAGATGCTAATTTCAGGACATCACTGAGAATGACAATCAGGCATTAGACTGAGGTCAGCCAGCACCAAACTCAGGGGCATCCTATACAGTGGCCCTGCAAAAGGAACAATCACTGAAATTTCTTTCCATGGAAGAGCTGGTGGACTCAGATACTAAGGAAAAATGTAAGCCATGAAGGGGAAGGTTTAGCACATGAAACCCCCACTGGGCCAGGAAGTGAGTCAGCTCTGCTGCCCTGCGGCCCTGCCCCTCTCCTCCATGCTGATTCACAGAATGCAGCTCCACTAAGCTGCACAGGCAGGGCCCAGGGCACCTCTGCTGTTGTCCACCTGCAGCGCGAACCTGCACCTTCCCAGAGCATCTCCAAGGCTCGGGGATGATGGCCATGGTGAGGATGACTGAGCTGTGCAGATGGATGGGCTAGGGAGAGAAGAGGCCTGTGGGGAGACTCTGAGAGGAAGAACCAGCCCCGTGCACTGTCCCCTGGAAGAGGCCAGCTCAGGAAGACATCAAATCTATTGGCTGCTGCGTCCTGCCCTCAGAGATGAATAACAAGCAGGAAGATTCAAAGAGGGAAAGTCCGACATCAGACATCTGCCTGCCCCAGACGCAGCCCTGTCAACACAGCACACTGGCTGATGGGGAGGACAGTTCCTGTTCATGAGGGGCGGTGCTGTGACTACTTGTGATGAGAAGAACCCAGTTCTGATGTTCCCACGCGTGTCAGCGGGGTCTGCAGAGTGGCCACTCTCATCTTTACTGAACCCGTGATCAGCGGCTGGAGCAGCCATGATGCCCGCCCTGACAGCCCTGCTCTGCCTGGGTGAGAGGGGAAGACAGGAGAGGACATGCTGCTCTGGGAGG